TTGAGTTCGTCGTCCTTGGGCACCTTGGCGTCAAAGTCCTGGAGACTGCTGATGTTCATGATATGCAGGGGATACTTTTTTCAAATGATTCGTTAGCTTCAAGTCTCCTTCTCTCACTTCCCACACATCCATTTCTTATCCCTCTCAACGAAGAGAAACCCGAAAAAGGGGTAAGGGGACGCAAAACCGAGAGCCAAAGGAGGAACAAAAACTCACAGCATCCTGGAATCCAACAATAGGTTGATACCCAGCCTCCTCCTTCCTCGGCGCACACCGATACACCTCCCTCAACTGCCCCGGATCAACCCGGAACAGCGCCAGCTTGTTGCTCACCCCCAAATACCGACACAGCTCCCCAGGCAGCTCCTTCTCCATATTCAGAGCCGGCACGACCTCCTTCCACACCTTGACGTCCTCGCGCGTGTAACCGCGCTCCGCAATCTCCGCGTCCGTCGGGAACTCGACCGGCAACAACACCTCCATCTCCGGCTGGCCCCTCCACCCGTCCCGGATCTTGGACGCCACCCACGACATGGTGCCCCGGAACCCCGGTTCCCGCCAGGGGAAGCGCATCACGATCCACGCGTCGGAGGACTTTTCCATGAAGACTGTGGACTTGGTCGCGTCGGGCACGTAGACGTCTACCTTGACGGTCGCGAGGAGCGGGAACTGGCGCTGCGTGACGAATTCCCAGGTGTGTTCGTCCTTCGCCTCGGCCGAGTCGTCCACGGCGGCCGGGAAGCGGGACTTGAGCTGCGCGAAAGTGTACAGCCTGTCGAATTCCAGGCCCGTCGGGAGGAGCTTGCTCCGGGTCACTTCGATTCCGCGGCATGATTTGATGGGGTAGACGCAGAGCGCCTTGACCCGGGCGACGGGCCCGGTGCCGGTGCCGGTGCCGGCATTGGAAGTGCTGCCGGCGTCGGCCTTGACGGAGTACTGGTCCCGGAGGTTGCTCTTTGGCGGCGAGACGCCAATCTTGGTGTGGGTTGAGCGTAGGGCGTCGCTGGTGGTGGCCGGGATGGGGGGGAAGATGTAGAGGACCGGGACGAGGAAGCAGATGAACGTGGCGAAGGGGAGGAGGTAGAAGCCGATGCCCAGGTGGTGTGGCTCACCCAGAGCGGATGCCGAGATATTTGGGTCCATTATGATTATGCTTCTTTCTCTCTCTCTCTGTTGTTGCCGTTGATCCTGTTGTTGCTTGGATTCTCAATGTTTTGTTTGTTGTGTGCTTTCTGTGTACAACAGTATCTGGTTCTCCCTGCGATCACTCACTCACTCACTCCCTTGCTTGTAGGACGGATACGGGTGGGTTGTGATGAGAATCGGACGTGTGGTTGGAAGCTCCACCACCAATTTCACACACGTAATGTTTTATTTCGTCGACGATGTAATCGAGGGCTTCCAGTTCATGGTACGATATGAGCTTCACATCATCTCACCCTTTTAGAACCACGCTTCCTATTGACAGCGCGGCTGAAACCTTCCATTCATCCCTTTTGGCAGGGTCCAAGACCCCTACGGCCCGGGCGCGTGCTTGATGCTGGCCTCACGTGCAGAATCAAGTGACCAGCTTCTTCCAAGAGACAGTTTCCCCTGCTTAGTCATTCAACCCTCCCCCAAGGGAAGCTGGTCTGTGCTTGAAACGAAACTTGGTCCAAGGAAACTCGGTCCCGAGTCCCCCGCGCCTGATTTCAGAACCGCCGCACGTGTGGGCGGTGGGCAACGGTATCTGCAGTTCCGTCACTGGTGTCTGTATGTAGCTCCCTAGGAGCACCCACGGCCACCTCGAGACGTATAATACTCAATTCGAAACAAAAGCAGGGGAATTGTTGCGATCTTCGTTGCGAAAAGCGGGATGATGCCATCAGCACGGGGGACTGCAGATACCACGTACTGGCGACCCCTACACCCCTATCAGCCACAGCAGATGAATGACGCCAACATCCCCATCACCCTCCCACGCCTCCTTGTCGATTCTTACGTCCGTATGCGTAATAACTTTAGAGGTGCTGTGACACATCTCTAGCGGCAATTAGTCTCGGCGCCTTTTGAATTTTTTTTTTCCTTCAGTTGGCTTCTGGTTTGTGCAACGAATTAATTTCATGACTCCCGGACGCTTCAGCATTGGGATTTGATGTCGAACGGGGAAGGGCGCATGAGATCGTCCGCCAGCCTCCAGGTCTAAAAGAACCATTACCTATGTACCTCAACAAGTCGATCTGGAGGTGTAAACCCCGTCCCTTCCTTCAGGGCGAATTGTTAAGGACCCGACGAGGTTCTTCCGACAACCTCTGAGCATCATAGCATTCGCAAGGTACCGACAGCTTTAGCCGCCGCTTCTAACTCGGTCGTCGTGTTACCGACGTAGCAGGAGTGACTGTAACGCTAAGTTCGTATATCACCGAGGAAGAACGCCTCCGACCGCGAGTGGCTTTGCGCCCGTTGTAATCTGATGGCAACAGATGAGGTTGGGCTGTTGTTGAGTGTGAGTGAATGCCACTCGGTCTGATCGCAATGTCACAACGGGCTGGCGAACATAGTCCGTTCCTGGCGTAGCATCCATTGGGCGTCTCCTGCATAATCCCCGAGAGGAAATCCCAAACTGGTAGCATTGCAACAGGAGAGGAAGGTAAGGTGATGTCGTTGATGCCCATTGCGATTGGATGTTCAAATCCAGAGTAGTATCCCCTCGTCGGATCGGAAAATTCGAAGGCGGGCTGTCCCTGAGACTGCGCGAAAGAACTTTGAGGCTGCATGGATCCAGTTCCATGGGATCTACAAATACGGTCTGGTATGGTCTGATCACTGTTGGTCCAGCTCTTCAATCTGCCGACTGGTAGATGCGCGCAGGTCTGCTGTGATAAATGCGAGTACATGTGAACTATCCCTTGAAAAAACTCTGGAAGTCCTACTGTTACTCGCCATGTTAAGCTCCAGTACCAGAGGCGGAGGAGCAACAAGACGAAGCCAATGTCACCATGTGTATGGCTGTGTATTAGATCGATCACGAATGCCTTTCCAATAGGAAGAATGGTAATGGTTGCACCGATACTATGCGACCAGGGAAGCTTTGAGATATCGGCAGATCATTTGCATCGTTCCTGCGCCTCTGACCCGTCTGGGACGCGCGTTATAGGTAGGTAGTAGCCTTTGAGGAATTCGGCCCGGACGAAGAAGAGCCGCACGTCCATCTAAAGTGTGAGGTACCGTATGGAAGAGGCCATTGCGATGCTCAATGCCGAAAGTAATTCGTCAATCGCGTCGGAGATTGACAAAGAAAGGCGCATGTATCGATATACCCTACACCGGATGGTACTTTGCCGCGGATTTCGAAGAGAAGATCAGGATGCTACTCTGATACTGTGACTGTGGCTTTGAGGTCTGAACACATAGACCCTGACTGGGGATGGGAAAGAGAAGGCATCCCACAACCCGGCTTAGATCGCATGGCTGAGCGAAGACGACATCCCGGAGCGGTCGGTCCACTCAGCGCCATCCGGGGTAAGAACTTGATATCAAAGCGCACGATGAGTATGGTCGCAGATGATGGACAACCTCACCAGGTTTTCACCAAGCAGCACGAGCTGGGGTGTACAAGCTACAGACCGCATATTCCTTCAGGTCAGCATCTCCATCTTGTAGAAAGGTACACAGCTGGTTGAGTAGGAGTAGATACGGAGCATCTTAAAGCGACCATCACCAAAGTCTCCTGAACATGGAACAAGAATTAGAAATTACTAGAGGCCTTTGCGCCCGTAGTAAGACATGGCTGACCCCATAGCAACTGGGTATGATGATGACCAATGAACCGTGATTGCAAAAGGCGAGGAATGACGGCGATGGTCATCACAGTGGGTTGGCTGTGGCTCCTAGGGAGTCGAGGCCAGGACCTTCTCTCCAAGACTGACGTATGCCTGGCCCCTGTGTTTTGATGCCTCTCTTAAGATGCGGGTTTTCCCCCTCCCTTTTCCCATCTCCCGGGTAATTACGCAGTGATGGTCCTCTGTTGATATGCCGTCCTTGATGCCTTTGATGACTTTTGTTCCCTGTTCATAGGTAGTCGTGTATGTTGATGTCAACATGGGGCTGTAGTAGAGCCATGTTGTTGACTAGTCCGGTTGATTCAACCTGAAAACGCCTTCCTCATTGTGTCAGCCATCCGCTTGATCTTTTAGATAAGTTAGCTATCGGAGCATATGCCAACATGGGTTTGGTGAACATACCTACAGTCGATTTGACCAGCCACAACGGCAGGGCCTCTTTGCTGATCTCACTTGACGGCACTTGCGATTGCTTCAAAGCCAATGCTGGCCGCTTCTGCCCCACTGTGAAAGGATGGGAAAGCGGACGAAGTACAGAACGATGTGAAGCCTTGGGTTCATCTGAGGACGAGGCCCCCATGCCCCCCGTCTTTGCGATCCTTCTAGGCCCTGGCTAGGCAAATTTTGGTAAGACGCCAAGCATCGTTGGCCTTTTTGTTTTCGCGCTAGACTTTTGGACGAAAGACGTTCGTGGTATGGCGAGTGGCTGCATATATGTTAACCAAATGCGGGTTCGCGTTCTTTGTTCAGGCATGTACCTCTCTCTCTTGAGAGAGAGGTACAATCATGTTACGTTCTTTTGTGAAGGCTGATTGACTCTGCCAGTCTATGGATGGTTGTGCCTATATTTGGCAGAATACCGGAAGAGCTATAGCGTGCTTCGAGGCTGGCAGCAATTGAGCATTTTCTACCGCTTGTCGCCCTTAACGCAAAGGTCATACCTAACATTTGGGATTCTTCTCCGGGTCCGCGGGAGTCGAAGTCAGATTTCTCTTGATTTGTTGTAATACCGAGCAGCTTCCCGCCTTCGGGGGTTGCTAGGATATGAGCAAGGGAGCCATTATCACTTTCGTTCGGCGTCGTGCTCGTTTGATCACTGCGTGTAAAGCTAAAGGCTATATCAAGCCATCTTATTACTTGTGATTTGCAAACCGTATCCGCCATGTCGCGCTGCCAAACATGACTGTCTTCTGGTACTACCAGCCTTTCGCAGGCAGTTCATCCGATGGCGTCAACCTCGAAAGGGCAAGACGTTTTGGTGACACTATTGAGCAAAATAAGCCAACGGCCGTTACCGTTGACTATCTGCAGCGATCAAGATTCCGCGCGCCACAGATGGTTCAACGGCTGTTGTAACGTTTGCAAACTTTTCATCCTCGATTTCTGCAACTCGCGAGTGCCGTTCGGCAACGATTTCGTTCCCAATTGAGAACCGTATGCCATGTTTGCTTGTCCAAGCAGTCCCTCCATTTCGGGGTGGGTTAGTTGTCAAATCCGTGTCGTAACTTTGCAAGGAGTCTCTATCGACCAGGCCACGCTAGATTAGGCCACTGTCAGGATTTGAATAGGGAGCCTGGGGCCGTAGCTGCAGGACTGTGGGAACTATTGAGCATGATGCTTGTGCTTCTGTGAGGGGTCCTATCTGGGCGTATTCCCCTTTTCTATGGGTAGATGCATCCCGTCCCTGTTATGGAGTGTTGATCCACAGACGAGAAGGCCACATAGTTGACGGCTAACATGTGATTTGCTGGAGTATCCGTATACGAACGGCGCTTCTCTTGGTCATCTCTCAATGACAATATTGACTGCTCTGTGCTGGGGGTATGTAGTGGGAAAAAACTCTTGGCCGTCGTTGAACCCGGTGGTCAGCATCGAGGTTCCGAGGCGGCCGACATATTGAGAAACGAATCTGCAGTCGGTACCCGTATCAAAACCCATGATCCCAACAAGGACCCAGAACTATGACCGCCTCCTTGGTGGGGTATTGCAAAAAGCAATGAAGGAAGACTTGCGAGAGGCTTCAGGGCTCAGGCCTGTCGTAGGCCCCCTTGTCTCGGGGCGTGCCTTGCCACGGGAAATCTGCAACCCTGCACCGGCAGCGGATGACCTGGGTCACCGAGAACGGTGGGAGAAAGTGAGGTGCGTCTGCTGCTTGGGACTATACCAGACGACTAACACCCTCGACGGTGGAACAAAGTAGGACATAGAGCGCTGCAAATAAAATTGCGAGACGATGGCGGTTTTGTGGCGAATCCTGCAAATGAGACCATGCATTATCTTTTCCGGATAAAGCGTCTTCTCCGTCATATATGACGGGTTTGAAGACTCGTCCCGGTGGGCCAGATCCTGCTATAGGGTGCTACTTTTGATATTGAAGCAAACAGCATGGATGGTAAGAAGTCGCAGCTTCGAGCAGCTGATTGCGTCGTGACTCGGGTTCTCCCGAGCCATAGTAGACTGTGGTGCGGTGCGGTACGACGCGGATAGGACGGTTGGAATAAGACGCAACAAGCCCAGAAGCGCTGCAAACTTTCGACCAGGCCAGGCTGACATGCTGGAAAAAAAAGTTGAGGGGTATTTTCTGTTCTAGAAGCCGGGCCGGCGGTGATGGGCGTGACAGAACCAAACCACGCAAGAAACAGGGACAGAATTGGGTTCCATTGTGCGGCAAACACGGAGAAGATGAGACGTTGCAGTCCATCTGGATGATCGATTTGTTAACGCGCTGTCGAGTGGGAGAGTGTAGGGCGAAGCAAAGTCTAAAGCTTCAGCTCAGCTAGTCTTTTTGGTGCAATGTAGAGCCAAGATGCTCAGAGATGCATTTGGAGCATGCCGTTTTTGGCGACGGACGCACAGGGCGCTTATTCTTTGATGTGACTTGTGAGGGCGGATGTGAGGTGTGTTTAAACTGTGGCGGCGTGCAATAAGGCTGATTATCCGGTAGGTATTACTTGACAGCTGCAAGCAGCAAAACATGGGAATGGAGTGGATGACTGAGGTCCAGGTCCAGCTGAGATGTCTCGGAAAGTGCCGCAATTCGCCTTTCGTTGACCAAGCTCACTGGCGCTGTCGCTCAGGAGCCGTGGTTTATTTTAAAAAAAATTGCTGCGTCGCGATGGAATTTTGCTTTGAATGTGCGAGAGAAGATGCAATGCGGTGCGATGCAGCGCAGTGCATGACATGACATGGCATTGCAGCAGCTGAATCTAAGTTACAGCACACTCCATATTGTTGTCCACAACCGTCCCAAGCTAAGAGGGCGAATGAGGCAAGTGTGGCCACATGAGATGCATCTCAGGCAAGTAAGTACCTATGCCCATGGGCCAGTTCCTAGGGGCGGAAAGACGCGGGAAGTGACTGGCCGGGGAAATGGAAGGAAGGACCATAGATGGTAAGTACAGATACGGGTACGTATACCTTCTCAATCGGTATTACTACCTTAACCCAGCTTCACAGGTACGAATATATACGACTGAGCCGACTGCTGCCAAACCTCAGGTGCTGCCTTTGCCAGTAGCAGCTGCAGTTTCCTTCCGACCGTGAAAAAGAAAAGAGACAAGTGTACAAATTCCAAGAAAACATGTAATGGAGGCAAAAAAAAAAAAAAAAACAGACCGGCAGGTGCACAATACTGCAGCGCACCTTCGATCGGTCTGGGCCGCTAAAAGCCATTGGATCGGGTCATTGCACGTTAAATTCACAATACCGTAACGCCGCAATGAGGCATATCCCAGTTCAAGCCGACATCTGACTGGCTGGGGGCGGCGTGAGGAGGGGGGGAGAGAGAGAGAGTGTGTGTCTGTGTGTGAGAAGATGGGCAATGGCAACCTACCTTAAGTCAGCTTGTGCCGTATGCCGTAGCACAGTGGGAAGAAGAGGAGGCAACTTGTTGGAGAAGTGAGAGAAAAGGATGTTGTTGGAGAAAGTAGACTGTGAGGAGCTGTGTGAGTGAAGTCACTGAAGTGGTGTGTGAGCGTGCAGCGTGAGATGTGAGGCAAGGCGCAATGATCAAGAGCCGGCACTTTCCCTACCATCCGGATCTTACCTGAGAATTTGAAAGCACGCGCTACACATTGCAGGTCCCTGTCCAGCCTCGGTCTTCCTTGCTCAAGCTCGGCCCCTAAAGCAGGTGCAATGCGGAGATGAAGCCACCGTGCAAGGTTGGACGCTGTAGTTTTGAATTCTTCACTGAGGGACTTGCGGATATTGAAGCCGACTTTGGCATATGGTGGCAGCTTCATGACTTAGGGCACTGGAATCATGGAATAGGAAAACATGGTTATTACATGGTAGACCACTGATTGTTGAGGTAAGGCAGTGTACCTTGCTCTGGAGTCTGCTTGGTGCTAACTGGGGTTCCGCCACCCACCGCTCTTTTATTTTTGCTTCTCATTTTGTGGGATTCCACTCCTGTATCAAGATATAATAGTACCTAGTGTAGACGACAGAATTGAATGATTCAGGAAGGTCCAAGGGAACATCGAGGTTCGTAAGACCATGTATGCATAGACACAGTTCCTTGGCCATTAGATTATCCAATGATCGACTCGTTGCAAACTTTGACCGATATATATTTGGCCATAGGAACGAACTCTGGTTGGACGAATGCATCAAGTCTCCAGTGTATCGTCGGATCTTGCGTTGCCGCGCATTCCTTGAATCCATGAACATGACTGCATACCGAGTTGTCACTGACTCTTGAGTCTCAACCCCAACTCCTTTTGACCCTCCTCGTACGCCTGAAGTAGAGTGTCGAATGCAGATGGAAATGTGTTCAGGTCCAGGATATGAGCAGGGCTTTGCTCCCAAGGTACTCCATTCGGATAGACCACGGGGCCATGTCATGTTTCTCTCCGATTACCAAATTGGCAGAATTGAGGCAGGCACGGCAGGAAAGACGAGGGGAAGGGGGGGGGGGGTTCGACGAGCCGTGGGCCGCCTGCTTTCTGCTTCGAAGTAAGTGAGTACGGAGTAGGGTAGGCGGTACCTACGGAGTATTCCATGATCCATACGGAGTACTGCATAGTAAGGTACTCCGTACCTAAGCAGGTTGAGTCTTGACAAAAGGCCCCCGGCGCCGACGGCACCATGGGACCGAATCGTGGGAACTTGGAAGGTGGACCCGGCCCGTCCAGTTTTTGACTCCTGCTGTTTCGAGACTTGATCATCCAAGAGGGCCTGCTTGGGGCCTGCTTTTCCTGCCCTCTTTTGCAGCACATTAATTACATAATACTCTTTTAAACTCACCATCCCCACTCGGGCTACTCTCCACTTTCTTTTTTTCCTTCCGTTCCGCGGATGCCTTGTTCGTCTGCCATCTCTTCTGCGTCAGGTCTTTCAAGTTCCATGCCATCGTGCCTGTGCTGCGATACAACACGACGAACACAATTCCCACGTGACTCCCACGCTTTTCGTTTTTTTCACTTCTCGATATGGCTGGTCAGGCCACGCGATATGCAAAGCCTGGTCTGAACCAACCTGGATCAAAGTAAACGGTGCCCAGGTTATCGTTGTCGCATCTCAATTTAAGCCCCCTGTAACCTCGAGCTACCTATCTGGACACAACTGGAATCTGGATGATTCAACAAGACATCTACATACGGAAATGGGTACGACGTACTGCACAATGCAATGCCTACGCCCGCTGGCCATGATCAATTCGATGAATCTAGCCATCAGTACAAAGCAATCCGGACACTTCTCCATCTCCTGAGTCCCCAGCTGCTCCTCTTCCAAATATCCTCCTTACCGCGCACGACAGCGTTTGCTGCATATCGACTAATGCAGGCTCGACCTCCCGCCTTGAACGAGCCCTGTCAGATCAACCTTTGGCACGCCCACTTGGCTGCCTTTTTAGCTGCGCAAAGTACGTATTACGGAGCAAGAAACCACCCTCGCCTTCTGCCGCTCATCCTGGCATGGGACGATGTTGCTCTGCTTGCATGTTGGGATTGTTGATCAGTGCCCGCTTTCGATCCACAGCCGACGCCTCCATTGGCCTCAACCACTGGCATGGCCCTCCCTGCCCCGACTGTCCTGGGACGGAAGCCAGTCTCGATCGTCGACTCCTACGAAGTTTCCCTATATCCGGACTGCGTACACAGACAGTACTGCTCTCCCGCTTTTGGTCGAGATGCGCCAGCGCCAGACGCCCCCGAGCAAATGGTCCGTTGGTGTATTCACTGCAAGCAATTGATATTCTCGATCTTGCACACCAGCCGTCGTCCCTGGGATCTCCTCTGTTCATTCGACATAGCCGTCATATCGCGTACGGATACGCAATACCTACCCAAGGATTCTGGCATAGACTCAAGGAGGTTAGACAATTCAACGAGCTTCTCGGGACCACAGGGGGGGAGGGGGGGACCGCCCAGGCACTGGGATTACATGAACCAACAGGGCGGAGAAACTTTCAATCAGGTACCCTTTTGCCAGGGCCAGTCCTCTCCCCTGGCATCTTGCTAGCTTTGTGGTGCTTCAGCTGCGACGTTTTCCTTTTCTCAACCGTCAGACGGCTCAATACTGAATCGAGTCGCTCCCTCAGCTGCATCTTATTGTCAACGCCTGCCCCCTACGATCCCGCCGACTCCCGTTCTCCAAATCCAGCTTCTCCACTCAAGTGCGACATGTCACTGAGCACAGGCACCGGCAGCTACACGACAGCAACAGACGACGGCGGCAACGGCACCGACCTGAACTCATTTCTCGTCCCATCCTCAGGACCGCCGCCTTTTTAAGCATGGGCGCTAGCGGCATCAGGTTCCCAAAGCCAAGAAAGCTAGATTATGCTGCCGCTACGGAGTACTGCTCTCACATCTCTGTCTGCCCTTGCGCCCTCCGCCACACCACCCCGGCCGCACCTCCCGACCCCATGTCTGTGCTCCCGCTCCAACGACACCCCCTTCACCATTTCAATGACATCGAAACCTGGGACCCAAGACCTGGAAGTGGGTGTGGAGTGTGGG